AGGGAAAAGAAAACTGACAAACGTGATCTTGGAAGCTATTAGTGGCATAAGGAAAATTGAAGCAGGAGCTTATCCCCCAACAAAGAGGAATATAAATTATTCCTTTGGTCACCTGTGGAAATTTGGAGAGAGTGGATATCATAAAATAAAGAAAAGGGAGAAGACAGGAAAAGAGAAGTGGGACAAAATACTTACCAGGAAAAAAACAGATAATTAGAAACTACTATATGGGAAAATATAAAGTTAAGATAAGGGCTTTAGTCCTAAATATGATATTAAACGGAGTTGCTAACTGCCTGAGCAAGATAATGGAAAGATAACTAAATAAAAGTTAAAATATATGGAATATGGATAAATATGAAACTGATATGGGGAGCTTGTAAAGCAGAGGTTTGTGATCTACCTTTTTAACATGATAATTAAATTGAGTTGCAAATTGAGTGAATATGGCAATAGAAGGACAAATCTAGTTTTGCCAGTTGGCCCATTGGCCTGGACATAGTGGACAATGAACCAGAATAAATTTAGTAAATTTAGTTCCTTCATTCTCTTACAGCAAGAAAATTACATTCCACAAATAATGGAAGTCGCCCCCAGCTATGTATATGTGATGACCCAGGGCATGGCATGAAGGCAACACAGCCAGAGAACTGGTATTTATTGCATCAACTTTGCCCCCAATGTCCCTTTTACTCTCTGGCCTGGAGAAAAGCTCTCCCACAGACCTGCAGCAGCCTCTGTTTGCAGATACTCCAGTCTAAATGCTGTAAGCAGAATGACTGCAATCAATCACTTCAGCAGGGCAAGATAGGGAATCCTATCCCAAATTCAGCATTTGTTCCCAACAAACGCCCCTCCCTCCTTTAAACTCCTTTAAACTCCATCCCCAGGTGAGCATTATGAAGGGAATCAGGTTCCTTTCCTTCCTCGTAAGCCACACAAGCCACATTGCTCTCTTATGTGTTCTCCCCTGTGCTCCCTAGGATAAGGAGGAGGTGGGCCTTGGTCTTCATCTGAACCCCCTTTCCCTTGTTCTACCTCTCCCCTGCTCTGCCCAGCCTGACTTTGCCCTTCCCCAGTTTCTTCTACAGCCAACGGAGCCACTCTCCCCCTCTCTGTCAGCTGTTCGTCTTCCATCTCAGAGTCAGACTCCAACAGGGGCATGACAGTATATATGAAGTTTTTATAGAACCAATTGGCAAGCAATTTTGTAACATGCAGTGAGTAATAACAGAAATTAGCAGGTTTTTACACCTTTCCAGTTGGTAGCACCAGTGGTTTTGTACAATATGTAGCTAATTCCTTATACTATTCTATGTAATTAATTGTAATTGTAATTTAATAAATTTATATGCTGCCCAATCCCGAAGGACTCCGGGCGGCTTACAAAGTACAAGACTAAAAAGATAAAAAGTTAAAAAATAGGGAAAGAGAAAACAGATTTAAAAAGCAACACACCGTACACTCAATCTGGGCGGCGCTGGACCTCGTTCATGGGGTCAACAGCCCCAGGCCTGCTGGAATAGCCAGGTTTTAATGGCTTTTCGGAAAGCCGAGAGAGTGGGAAGGGTCCGGATCTCTGCGGGTAGATCATTCCACAGGGCTAGGGCAGCTACAGAGAAGGCC